TCAGGTCGCTTATTCTAACTAATTTTTTGGGAAGCCTTTTATGATTTTGAGGCGGAGAGGGAAAAAATGATGTTTCTACGTTTATTTGTATTTTTATACAACATTTTTACCTACAGAAAAAAAAAATCCTCAATTTTAAATGGGCTATCTTTTACTTTCTTTTTTTTATTTGCCATGATGAGGTGAGTTCTTTTTTGGTATAACTTGAAACCTATGCAAATTTACATTATTTTCTTTCTCATATTTGTGATCAACCAATTTCATCAATTAACCAGTTTCAAAATCATATTTTTGATATTTTACTACTTATAAACTTTTGGAAGAAATAGTTTCAACAATTAAACGTATACCCTTGGGAGGAAGCTTACTACAAAGCTATTATAAATCTCCTTTACTAAGTATTGATTTGGCACAAACGGAGAACATCAATAAATTATCTTACTAATATTTAAACTTATTAGTATGCTTTTATATTTTGTCTAGCATTTAATTCAAGACATATATTTGATCAAGTTTATCTACATTTAAGAAGTAACACTTATAAAACATTTCTAAAATCTTCAAACATTTCTAAAACGTACCGGGTCAAATACAATTTCTTTTTATGCCAAATACAAACATTTCTATAATCACACTTATAAAACATTTTTAAATTTTTCAAACATTTATAAAATATATTGGGCCAAATACAAATTTTTTTTTTTTCAAATATAAATATTTCTAAGATGTACAGATATATTAGGCCAGGGTCGCACATTGCGCGACCAGACATCACTAGTACATTATATAAGATGGGTTTTGACATCTTGTACAATGCGCCATTTGTCATCAATGATGTTGTGTGGATCTTACTGTACACGTGGATTTTTAACTTGTGAAACCATTTTTGTGAAGTGACATCTTGTATCAGTTTGTCCATCTCAATTTACGTGTTCTGAATTTTGGAAATAAATATAATTGTACATTGTCTACAATCTTGAACTAAATAATAGTTTATATTATAAACAATAAAATAAAATAAAATATTAAATATCTATTATTGTGAATAAAATTATGCAAAACATTTGTAATTAGGAAACTCGTAAGTGTTAAAGTAATGAATAGGATATTTTAAAACGTCTTTTTTTTTCTGTGACCAGTCAATGTATGGGACACAAACATGTCTCATTAGAGGTAAATTTAAGAGGACACTTTAGTATTTAGAAACATATGGGACTCAAAAATAGAACAGCCTTTGTAGGAAAAATTGGCCCATGTATCGAAAGATTAACATGCGTTGTCAATTTTACCCTATTCTCTTTTTCGTTAGTCAATATTACCCTAATCTACCAAATCGTTAGCCGATTTTGTCCAATTGTCTAATTTCTGTTTAAATTGACGGAATTCTGTTAGAATTAATTACAAAAATACCATATTAGTTTTAAAAATTATAAAAATAACCCCAAAAATTTTTTAAAATAATAAAACATTCTCTTTTCAATTTTATTTTAATTTTTTATTTATTTTTACTATTTTTCATAACTATAAAAATATATTATATGATCTTTTAAAAACATATTTATGTTTTAACTCTAATGTAAAAATTTATAATTACATATTTTTAACTCATGTTTGATTTACATAAACATATTAATTTTTAATAATATGGTTTTACATTAATGATACTATTTTTTTAGTCCATTTTTTCAATTTAAAAAATAAGATTATTTAACTAAAAGTAATTTTGCACAAAAAATTAAACATTTAGCATAGATTAAAAAGTTTTTATTGGTTTACTTTAATGTATTACAATTTAATTCAACATAATTTAGATTGTATTGTAAAATTAAAAAAATCATTTTAAATTAAAATATAAATTTTCTTTAAATGGCCAAGTACGAACAGAAAATAAAAAAATGGTATAAAATATTTTATAAAAATATGTATATTTATCATTACGAGGGTTTAACATTTCGTGATAATTTTGTTTGAGATATTAACATACCTAACATTAGCAAAAAGTTTTTTTTATAAAAAAAATAAAGAAAATCTACTCCAGTACTGGACTCCACCTTTTTTTTTAAAAAAAAAAAAAGATTGCTCCAGTGAGAATCGAGGCCCCGAACACAGTAATAATCATCTTTCATCTTAAATCACCTGACCATCCAACTCAACAAATGTAGATAAAATCACTCTCCCGGTTAGAAATCTTTTGGTGAGAATTAATCTTATATATACTCTCATGAAGCTCAACACCCTAAACATTATATGGTATTCTATGGCATTCTATATTTTAGTTTAATTATTTTTTGAATTGGATAATACAATCTATAGTCTATTTAGTTAATTTGTAATAAATTTAAATGTACTAATATATTAATTTTTAATCATGCTAAATGTTTTAATTTTTGCAAAAAAATTAATTTTTAGTCATAAAATCTTTTCTTTGAATTGAAAAAAAGGATTAAAAAAATAATATCATTATTGTCAAGTTATATTACGAAAAAAATTAATCTATTTATGTAAATCAACAATGAGTTACAAATATACATATCTATAAATTTGCATAGCAGTGTTTAAAAATAAATAATTTTTTTAAAAGATCATGTAATATAATTTTATAGTTATGAGAAATAGTAAAAAAAAATTAAAAACAAAAAAATTATATGAAAAGTGAAAAAGATTGTTTGTTATTTTTACAAATGTTTTGGTCATTTTTATAATTTTTAAAAATATTAGGGTTTTTTTTGCAATTAAAACTAATAGAATTCTATTAATTTAAACGAAAATTGACAAATTAGACAAAATCAGCTAACGGTTAAATAGTTTAGAGTAATATTAGCTAACCGAAAAAAAATAGGTTAGAATTAATAACGCATGTCAACCTTTGTATGTATGATGTATCCCATTTTCAGTACGCAACCAAAAAAAAAAAAAGAAACGAAGAAAGGTGTTCCATGTAATTATATTAACCATTTCAGTTGTAGTGGTAGTAGTTGCATTGTAGTGGAGTAGTTGCATTCACGTGAGAAGATACTAATAATTTAATAATAATAATAATAACGATAACAATAATAATAATACTAATAATAATAAGGGCAATAAGTCAAGTTGTTCTTCTTCTATTAATAAGCAACTCCGACCATCAATATAAACCACAAGCTTTCCTCTATCGCCATTCTTTTGTTTTGACTTTTGATCATAGCTTCATAGATATTAAGGGCGACGCCGAAAAGAGGTCTCGGAAATTCCGTTCAATTCTTTTCATTCTCTTCATCATTTTTTCGTTCGATCCTATCGAATCCAGGAAACTTAATCCTAAGAAACCATGCAAACGTTTTTCTGTTTATTTGCACGAGATATTGTTCGACGGCAAAAATGCAGCGAACGCAACTGCTGCCACAGCCGTGAACCAAACCAAGCTTAACAACTATGGATTCGGAGAATTCGTCGTTTTCAATGACAAACTGACGGCCAACAAAAATCTGGAAAATTTACTTATTAGTAGCTGAAAAATAAAATGAAGAACAAAATATGCTTAGGGTTTAAATTGTAGCCAAAAATAGCTTTCTCGCGCTTCAGAAACACGAAAAAATCAAAATCCGCGTTTTGAAAACGCTAAAAACAAAAATTCGCGTTTTGAAAACGCGAATATATGTTTTTCGCGTTTCAGAAACGCGAAAAAGAAGGAGACGTAATTAATTTAACATAATCCTAATTAATTAACTTGAATCAATAAGATTTCGCGCTTTCAAAGCGCGAAATCAATTAAAAAAATATTTTATTTAATAAAAAAGAAAATAGGCATAAAAATATGATTAATTTGACTAGTTTAAAACGTTATAGGGAAATTGACTTCAAAAAATTATGAAATTTGAATAATGGTAACAGAAAATTTTAAAATTATAACTGTTAATCATTAAATTTTGAATAGAGCTATAAAGAGAAAAATTATATTGATAATTTTAATAATACGAAAATTAAATTTTGAATAAGAATATATTATTATAATTGATACTCATTACATTAAATAGAGCTATACTAAATATAAATTATTAAAAGTATGATATAGTTATTATAATGTATTAATTTTTTAGAACATTATATAAAAAATTTAATAATGATTATATTAAAAATTTTTATTAAAAATGTAATCATTATTTTAAAAAATAATTTTATATGAAAAATTTTCAATAATGATAATGACGTAATTTTATGGATTTAATGAGATGTAATTTAATTTACAAATTATTTTTATTAATTATGATGGTTTTAATATAAGAAAAAGCTTAAAATAGGAATAAATTTTATTAAATATTTATTATAATTTACCAACACTTAAGATGAAACAACTATTAATTATGAAAAAATATAAGAAAGTTTAAATATGTGTTTCGATTTGATCGGCGAAGATGTGTTTTATAAATATTAATTATTGTATTTACGATGCAGTGAAATCAAACTATTAAGAATATTAATACAAGTCATAACAAAATACTACAAGTCATAAAAAAAGGTAAAAAATAAAACAAGTCATAACAAAAGGAAAAAAAACAGAAATGAACAAAAGGGAAAAAAAAAATACAAGTCTAATAATACTACATAAGAAGTCTAGTACCCTACTTCTTCTTGGGCTTTTTAGCCCGAAAAAGGCTATAAGTCAATCTATCGGGCTCCTTCGTCACTCTCTGGCCTTTACTCACAGCCAACGGTGGAGTCCCTAGAGTCTGACTCGATCCCTGCTCCTCATGGCGCTGATAACCCTGACCCTCAAACTGATCATCCTGGTTTGCATCCTCAGCCTCATCCTCACCCTGACTCTCACGCTCACCCTCAGCTGGGTCATCAGCTTGATGCTGACCCGCAACACCCTCGAACATACTCGAAAGAAAGTTACTCGTGTAATGTATCGACTGGCCATCTAGCGAACTCTGCTGAAACCCAGAAAAGTCAATAAAAGAATCTCCAAACTGACGCTGAGAAGTCTGAGGGGAGGAAAACTGAGTGAAGGCAAAATTGGACTACTGGTGCTGGGGAGACATAATCGGACGGTAAAACGCCTGTTGGGTCGGCGAAGAATGATGTGGAGACTGATGGGATGAATGATGTGGAGACTGATGGGCTGAATGCTGTCGAGAATGGAGTGGAGACTGATGGGATGAACCGCCAGTGAAGGGAATATGAGACTGCTCATGCTGGGAGGACTGATGTGGCTGAGATGATGTGATTGTCTCTTGCCCCCCACGCCCACGCTGAGACCTGCGCGAACGCCTCGGAGGTCTGGGTGGTGGATGTTGTTGGGTCGGGTCTACAGGTGCAAGTTCTTGATTCAAAATGTCATGAACCTCAACATGCCTATCGAGATCGTGACGTACAACATTTGTTGCATTGACGGACAACGCCCGCTCAGCAACCTGGGCAATCTCGCCTAAGCGATCATAACCAAAGGAGTCCGCGTCGAAAGTACGCTGGCCTATAATACTCAGACTACGAACGTCCTCCATCAATGTGGCCTGAAATTTTTATTAGAAAGAATCATAAATCGACAACAGTGTCAATAAAAAGAACCAAATGGACTGTAGGCGAAAAACTCATCATAAATCGCAAGGTCTCTGCAGAACCGTGAAAACCCCTCGCATTTTCAGAGTCCGTCGGATCCGTAACATACTTCACAGTAACCTGATGGTACCACAAGAGATACTCCGGATCTGCAGAAGGCTCGCCAACATAATCATCATCAGTCCCCACAAGTTGGCCGTGGCGATCATTCCAAACCTGGAGATATATCCCTAGTTGTTGTAACCATCTCCTATCGGATCCTCCAAACGGCTTCCTCTTGAGCAGGCTAGTAATTTCCGCCGCAGTGAGAAGTAATGCGTCGCCGGGTATCTGCTGGTGATAACCAAATTGGCGAAATACCCTACTAGGGTTGTGTGGCGCAACGACATCACCGCAGATGAGCCATGTCTGAGATCGCCATATGCCCTGTCCCACAAGACAAACCCTGGCAATACGACCCAAAAGAGTCGTGTACGGCATCCATACAAACTGCAATGGTAATTAAGTAAGAGACGTGTAATTAAAAGTTCGACACCGTTAAAAAAAATGAATAAAACATAAGTTATACTAATTGAATAGAATACTAACATCAGACTCTGCGAGAACTGCAAGCTGATCCCGGTACGCGGCCAAATTGAACCGCATGATACCTTGAACTTTTTTCTCACGGGACCACCTGCACGGAGAAAGTAACATTAAATTGAGACATGGCAGTACAAATCAAAATGTCAAAATTTACGAAGGTTTGATGTATAAGATTACCTCGTGCCCAATGGACAATCAGATAGATCGAGATCCCCACCCAGTATCTTGGGCTGAACCGTCAAGATCCGCTCCCGTGCCCGAGCTAATTCGAATGAAGAAATCATTAGCTAAAATCACCAATAATAATGGGAGAATATAAAATGAAACTAGAGAGAAATGAAAAGATAAAATACTTGAAGAAGAATCACACAGCCGGTAATAGCCTTGGCGAAGCGGCCGAGATGACTTGGACATGTTTGCGTACAAGTAACATAGTGCCGCACTACCCCAACCAGACTCGAGCAAATCTCGGGAGTATGAAGAAAATGCACAAGATCGAGAAGAAAACTGTTTCTCGTAGTGTTTGAGAACAGAATCCGCCAACGAGCCATCCAACAAAACAACGGGCTCATTGTAGGTGTGCATCGTCGGGGACAGTCCGTCAAAGGATTATTCTCTATGTGAGTCTTTATTTCGATGATGGAAACGCTCGTCAATCTAGACTCCTCTGTCTGGAACCTAAATCCAAACATCCTCTCCAAATAGGTGCCCAACCACCATCGGGCATGGTGTGATGTCCTCAGAATGGACGTCCATCAACCCGAAGACCAAAAAGAACCTCGACGTCCTGGAGTGTGATAGTAGCCTCCCCAAAAGGTAAATGAAATGTATGGGTCTCTGGGCGCCATCGCTCCACAAGAGCTGTAAGCAGGGCATGGTCACATCTTATGGACCCAACTCTAGAGAACGGTCCAAAACCAAATTTCTCAATATATTCCTTTGTCAACCTCGGTGCATCTTTTATTAATTTCCACGCGGCGCTATCTACGCGCCTGGGCTCCGAAATCCCTATATCATACTGTGCACCATGGAATATATTGTGTGACCTATGGGCGTTTTGGAGAAACAACAAACTACTGTCTCTGGGTCCCTGATGTAGCTTCTTTGAGGTAGATTGGGAGGAAGAAGATGATCCAATGTCCATGGCTAGTACAATTTACAAATAATTTTAGTAAGTACAGATTAATCTTATTATTCTAATCTAATTATCCTATACATTAAAAATTCCAACCCTACATTTTAGTAAATACGGATTAATATTATTATTCTTTTCTAATTATCCTATACATTAAAAATTCCAACCCTACGTTTTAGTAAATACGGATTAATATTATTATTCTTTTCTAATTATCCTATACATTAAAAATTCTAACCCTACATTTTAGTAAATACGGATTAATATTATTATTATTTTCTAATTATCCTATACATTAAAAATTCCAACTCTACATTTTAGTAAATACGGATTAATATTATTATTATTTTCTAATTATCCTATACATTAAAAATTTCAACCCTATATTTTAGTAAATACGGATTAATATTATTATTCTTTTCTAATTATCCTATACATTAAAAATTCCAACCCTACATTTTAGTAAATACGGATTAATATTATTATTCTAATCTAATTATCCTATACATTAAAAATTCCAACCCTACATTTTAGTAAATACAGATTAATATTATTATTCTTTTCTAATTATCCTATAATTAAAAATTCCAACCCTACATTTTAGTAAATACGGATTAATATTATTATTCTTTTCTAATTATCCTATACATTAAAAATTCTAATCCTACATTTTAGTAAATACGGATTAATATTATTATTCTAATCTAATTATCCTATACATTAAAAATTTCAACACTAAATTTTATTATCCTAAACCCACTCCTCTAAACCCAACCCAATCCCCAACCCAAAATCCACTCCTCTAAACCCAACCCAATTCCCAACCCAAAACCAACCCTCTAAACCCAACCCGATCCTCAACCCAAAACCCACATTCTAAACCCAACCCAATCCCCCAAACCCTAAAATCCCTAAGCCCAACACCCCAACAAACCCTAAACTCCCCCAAACCCTAAACTCCCTAAGCCCTTCCTTTCCCCCGCCGCCCCCTCCCATTCCTTCCCCCGCCACCCGCCGCCCCCTCCCATTCTTTCCTTCGCCGCCCGCCGCCCCCTCCCCTTCCTTCGCCCCGCCCGCCGCCCCCTCCCATTCCTTCCCCCTCCGCCCGCCGCCCCCTCTCCTTCCTTCCCCCGCCGCCCGCCGCCCCCTCCCCTTCCTTCCCCCGCTGCCCCCCTCCCCTTCATTCCCCCCCGCCGCCCCCCTCCTCTCTACAACAAAAAATGAAAACAAAATATAACGGAGTATACAACAAAAATATAACGGAGTATACAACAAAAAATGAACACAAAATTCCACAATTACAAGCATGAATTAAAGCATGAATTAAAAAAAATATAAGGGAGTATACAACACAAAATTCCACAAAATTCCACAATATATGAATCGAAAATTAAAGCATGAATTAAAAAAAACGATTCAATGAGAGCAAAAAATGCAACTTACCTCGATATATAGCCTAAAAACTGCAAAAAATTGATGCCGAAACTCGATTCCGGCAACTCTCCCGGAAAAACCGCCGGTTTCAATGGAGTACGCCGGATATATGGTTCTATTTGAGAAATATCAACCCGAAACGCGAAAAATTTATTTAAGCACCTATTTTCGCGTTTCAGAAACGCGAATCGGATTAATACCCAAAACTCGCGTTTCAGAAACGCGAAACGTCTCCTCTCCCTATTTTCGCGTTTCAGAAACGCGAAAACAATGTCCACCTTGTCTTTTTTCGCGTTTCAGAAACGCGATTATTGGGGTAGAACTAAAAAAAAAAACGTCTGATAGACATGGCCGGATATATGGTTCTGTTTATTGCGGTGATGAATAAACAAATAATTAATTTTCTTACCCTTTAGTGTTTATTACATAATTAGTGCTTTATTCGACATGTATATATCATATCACTCTACCACTATAGTAATAATTAGTAATATTACTAAAATGAACAGCGACGTTTTTTTTTTCAAAAATATTACTAATATAAATTATAGAAACATCCAAACCAACACACTAACACAAATACAAACGCAAACTGATTCATCCTCTGAGGTTTACTACATGAATGTTCAAAACAACACAAAAATACGAACACTAACAGAATCATCACAACAGACAATGAGGAAAATCATCACTACGCATCATCATCATCATCAGAATTGATATTAGGCACACCATGAATTCCATATGGATCGTACAGTTTATCAATAGCGGTCCTGTCAGCAGGTGGATGAGAAAAAGGGCATTCCATAGCATCATGATCTAAACTTCCACATCGTGCGCAAACTCTCGCATATGGGCAAGCCCTGGCATTATGGCCTTGTAGCTTACATAAACTGCAAGTTTGGAGTCTTCGCCGCGATTTGCTTGTATAATCCATCACACCTTTTTTCCGATTCACACGCTTCCAACCTCGGCCAGCATGGTGGACAAGTTTAGTGTCATCTGGCCTGATCTGCCACGTTGCCTTTGGCCATGGTTCCATGATTGGGTTGAATTCTCCAGAAAACTGCTGGTACCATTGATGCGTAGTGTAACATGGATCAAAAAGTGGGAAGGGATCGTCACCTAGCTCACGGGCAACTCGAAGTGCATGGGAACAAGAAAATCTGAAAGTCTGCCACCTTCCGCAAGTGCACTCTCGATTTGCATACAGCACAACTTGCTTCTCGTCAGCCTTCCATGGCTGATTATCAGGTGCTATTGTAACCACTTCGTACTTCTGGTTTCTCTTGCTAAGTTGACCTTTTGCCTCAATGATTTCTTCCGGGTCTCTTCATACAGTTTCATTGGAGTAGGAGGTAGAACAGTCTGACATTTTTGGATCATATCAATGTTTGCCTGAAACAGATTGTTGCTTTTCTGAAAGGATGCTAGGATCAATACTGTAATCGGGAAGAATCTAGCACCTTTCAGCACATTATTGAAACTCTCTGAGATGTTAGTGGTCATTTCTCCCCAACGATGCCCTTCATCGTGTAAACAGGTCCATTTCTCAACACCCAGCTTCTGAAGCCAACGAGCAGCAGGCTCATTTTTTTCTTCTAATTTTTGCCACTCTGCCAAAAACCTTGTCTTTTGCGTCGCTGAACCAATCATTTGACAGTTGCCTCGCAGTTTCTCCTTTCGAAAATGCCCAACCAAGTTTGCTTTAACATGCTCTAGACAATACCGGTGGACGCCCATCTCTGGGAATTTTTGCAACATGATGTCCATGGCAGTAAGGATACCCTGATTTCGATCGGAGATAATACAGTCTTCCTATCCCGTAGAACAAACTTTTCAAATACTTCAAAACCATTTCCAGTGTGTATAGTCTCTTCGTCCACAAGAGCAAATGCGATGGGAACAATCGTGCCATTTGCGCACTTTACGCATGCCACAATTAGTTTTTCTTTGTAGGATCCTCGCAGTGAGTGGCATCGATGGTTATTCTCGCCAACAAGCATGAAATAAGCGTATAGATGGCCCAAATGCCCGAAAACATACCTACATACAAACCTTTGCGAGCTTCCTGAATTTTCCTTAAACTTGAATTGCACACAAGTGTCCGGGTTTGACATGAACAATGCATCGAGGAAGCTGGGCAGTTGTTGAAAATTACTTTCCCATGTACCATACAGAGCCTCAAGTGCTTTTCTTCTACCATGCCATGCCTTCTTGTAGCTACATTCGACTTGGTACCTCTTCAAAACTTCTATTTGAATTTGGGCAACTGCAAAATCTGGATGTTTTCGCACATTTTGGGCAACCAGTCTAGCAGTCATAGAAGACGTGACGTTTCGGGACTCGTTTCTCTTGTTTTCCCCAAGACAGTTGTGGGAATCGGACCATACCACCATTTTCCAAGTATCGGTGGCCTTCTGTAGCGAAACTCGCGCCTTCCACAGACAATCATAGCCGTGAAGACGCTCTTTTGGATATTTAGGTCCACACGTCTCGCATTCGACATACCATGTTCGTTTAGAGCTCGTTTTCACCCGGAAAGTCCGACCATGTACCAAGTTCCATTCTCCCACTGCCACTTGTGCCTCAGGCTTGTTGGCGAAATGTATATCAAGGCCTAGCGTCAACGGATTGCCATCCCACATTTTAATTCCATCGTTTTCTACTTCCTCTAAAGTCTTGTCCCATCCACTTATGTCGTCGAAAACATAT